TGAGAGACACACCACTTATTCACCTAAAACTTTAAGGTGATATGTGAGTGGGTTCTCCCACTTATATATGCTTAAGTCTCCACATTCCTATCCAATGTGAGATTATTTTCCCACTTACTCACACTTACTATATGATTCCAACAGGTATTTGGCTAGGTGGCCTTTTTCTCCTTATCTTTTTTATATTTGTATGGATCAGATGTAGGATACTACTTATGTTCAGGTTGATGAAGGTTATTAGAAGCTTATGCGTGTAGGGCGTGGATGACTTCGGGTTTCTGAACTCCTCTTTGTAAATGACCTTCTTTTTTTTGCAGAGGCCACTATAGAATAAGCTTATTGTATTAAGCACTGTCTAGATTAATTTTGTCAAGAGTTCAGCCAAAAGATTAATTTTGAGAAGACTCAAATATATTTTTATGGCAATGCAGATGCCTAGCTTCAGCAAGGGATTATACAATATACAAATTTTATAGATATTTAGGGCAAACATTATCTATGTTAGAAGCTCTACACTACTACAAAACGCACAAACAACAAAACCCAAATCACCACGTCAAAGAATACACAATAGTAGAATCTATTAAACTAGGTGCATTTTTTTCATATTTAAGTCACTTTTCACTACGGTTGGAAGTTCCAACCGTGGTAAAAAATGACACATAGTCATGAGTTCGAATCTTGATGTTGTTGTTATTCTACTGCTGTATTTTTTACATTTTATTAAAAGATGTATAACAATGATTATTTAATACAACTGTTGTTGTATGTAGCGCACATGATCATGAGCTAGAATCTTGTTGTTGCTTTTCTAGTGTTGTATTTTTTTATTTTAATAAAATACATATAACAACGGTTATTTAATACAGATGTTGTTGTATGTAGCATATTTATTGAGTTTCTTCACTATCCTTAAATAAATCTCAACCGTCCATTAGTTACTATCAACGCTCAGGACATCACTGTTAGCGATCCGCGTGAAACTTAAAACTTAGACAAACTTCCAACTTAGACGAACTTCTTCTTCTACCTTCAAACATCATCTTTCATTTACGACACTCTATTTTTCCACTAAAACAAACTCGAAAATATCATGTCTTCCATAAGCAAAACTCGAAAGTAACATTTCTTTAATTTCTAAATTTCAGAACTCCGTCATTTATTCTCCATCTTGAATGAGACAAGAAAAATATGAATTCAAGTTAACAATGTTAGTTGTTGTTGCTCTTATTGTTCTTTTTTTAGTTATTGTTGTTCTTGTTCTTATTATTGTTATTCTTGTTGTTGTTCTTGTTATTGTTGTTGTATGTTGTTGTTGTTGTTAGTGTTGTTATTCTTCTTCTTCTTCTTCTTGTTTTTGTTGTTCTTGTCGTTGTTCTTCTTGTTTTTGTTGTTCTTGTTGTTGTTCTTCTTGTTATTGTTCTTGTTATTGTTCTTGTTGTTCTTGTTGCTTTTCATGTTGTTCATGTTGTTCATGTTGTTCTTGTTGTTCATGTTGTTCATGTTGTTCTTAATGTTCTTGTTGTTCATGAGTTAAAAAAACTTCAAAGAAAATTTATCTAGGGAAATATGCAGGCGACTCGCAAGACTCGTCTGATTAGTTAAGAGGTCTTATTGTATGCTTAATGATCTCAGTGGCTTAGAAATCAAACAAACTCAATTAATAAATGATACCTTTTATTTTAATATTATTTAGAATTTATTAAATAACCCTAATGATTCGCGGTGTTAGGTGCTCACTAATATGTATGACAAGAATCAAAACTTTATGGAGAATATTATTAATAAGTTGAGTGATTCTCTTTAATGGAAATCATTGCAAATATGTGGGACAAGTTCTAAAAGAATATTAATTGGAAGACTCAAGAATACATAATGAACTATTTTTATCTTAACCATTGGACTTCAACAAAACAACCATTTTTTTTTCAATTTGACATAAGCAAATATGATTGTAGATACCACCTTGATGCTAAAATACATTGTCAATAGAGAAGATAATTGAAATCTTGAGTTACTTTAAAATTTTCACTGAAGAACGAATTAATCACAATATGTATATTCCTCGCCACTTCTCTTCTTGAAAATGGTGTGGACAAGTTAGGGTGAGGTGACAATAGAGATCATGGTTTTTCAATAGGCGATGCTTATAAATATATTGCTTCAAATCCAACTGGTATTGATCTGGATATTGACTAGAATATCATTTGAACGTAGAAAGACTTTTATCGAATCTAAATGTTCACATGATTTATGGTGTATGAGACTTTTGACAAACTTTATACAACAGAAATGGAACCCAACGATCTCCGTTGATTGCAAAGAATGTAGTGATATTGAAGAGACTTTGATTCATTTGATTTGGGACCTCCTATATACAACACAAATATGAATTAGATTTGTTTCTTCAAACAAAATGAATCGTTTTTATTCTTTTTCCTATAGGGAGTGGATCACATAAATTTTGAGAGAATATACGATAACTTTTCACATAGAACAACAAGGATATATTTTTATGATATCATGTTGGTTCTTGTGAAAGTGGCGGAACAAATTATTGTTTGAAGAGGGTTTTCAGCGACCACATAATTCAAGGCATACATTATTCATCTAGTGAAGGAGATTGAGAATGGAAACCGTATGGAGAACAAGTCCATGTACCTACAAATTATACATGTTTGTTGGTATAGTCTGAATAATAACTCAATTAAGCTCAATTGCAATGACACTCACAAGAAGTGTACGTCTTGGTGGGGTGTGGAGTTCTTGTTGAATATGTAATTCTTTGTGTCGAAGCAGGATGTTTCTCGGCAGAAGGTGTGTCGAAACATCCAATATGTATGTGTGTCGAATTATAGTGTGTCGAAGCAATTGTTTCACACAGATTTGATTTTATTTCAAAATAGGTATTTTGGGTTTTTATAGTTTTGGGCTTTTTTTTGCTTAGAGAGCAAGCTAACCTAAAACTAAAAATAGAGGGAGTAACCCTTATTCTTGTATTCATTAATTCAGAGCATTTGTATTTGCAGGTGAATAAGAAAGTTTTTCATAATTTGTAGGCAGGGAATTAAAAAAGCAGAAACCCTAATCCTTTTCTTCTTTAAATTTATTTTTTTTCTTTTCATTGTCATTCTGCGGTGATAACAATCTTGTTCATCAAGATTGATAAAAATTCATCATTGATTTTAATAGATTTTTAATCGTTATTTTAAAAGATTCTGCTAGAAATTTGGTGATGGACTATGCTCGAAAAATAAGGTTGTGTGATGCTCTCACTCTAGAAATATGGGTGATGCTACATATAACAGAGCTGATTTGGAAGCTGAATAACTTACAAATTTGATGGTTGAAATTGACTTAAAAAATTTGATAGACCTGATCAATCAAAAAATTAGAGAGAAACACAATTTTCTAACCTTAATTTATTGAACAAGAAAATTGTCACAAAAAGATTGACATATCAAATTCATTCATTCTTCGTGTGAAAAAAATCATTATGTAAATTAGCTTGTCAAAAATTTACTTTAAATAACAATAAATTTTTTGTCTTTTAAGTCACTTCAAACAAATAAATTAAATATAATATTAACTGATATCTCTCGAGGTCTCGTCCCCTAAACTTGTTAGAATTTCTTTTTAATTCCTTTGAAATTTAGATTCTCTTCTATAAAAAAAGAAGTGAATTGTGAATTATTTAAATAAAATTTCACATATGACCCCATTTTATATTTTCGGCTTACATAATTTTTTATCTACTAAAAATAATTGTATTCAAAACGTTGAAACTCAACTATATCCTTTCATTTCAACCTATTCCTTTCATTTCTAAATTTTTGGTCAAAGGTCATAATCATCCTACAATATAAAAAATTAAAAGCATAAAAAAACGTGGACAGGTGTCTTGAATCAGTTAGGAAAAACTGAACCCAATTACGTAGGAAGAGTTGCACGTGGACATAAAAAATAAACTTTCTTTAATTTCATCCGTTGAGTTCAGCTTTGAAAAATTGAAATAAAATAAAGAAAAGCCCTGAGGTAAAGGTAAAGAAATATCCAATTCCAGTTGGCACCATCAAAATAATTGAATTGTGTTCTTTTGCTGTTGGTTGAATGATTGTGGTTGAAAAAGAAAAGCTATCATTATTCTCAAATAAGTCATAACGTATTTCCCTTTTTATCCTTTTACATCTTACCAAAATTAGTAGTATTACTAAAATCATGATAGGGATAAACTAGAATTATAAAAGGTTGAAGTTTGAGTTTTACTCATAAATTTTATTTTGGCCAATTTAACTAGGTCTAGGAGTAGTAATCTATTATTACATGATTCATTTCATTGTGAGTTGGCACTACAATAATTAAATATTAGTGGAAACCATTACATGATTACATAACATTGTGTAATCTAAATTAATTAACTTAATCTTCATATATAATCTCCGTGTTAACTCCGTGTTGTTTGAAATCTACCCTCAAATCAAAGTTAATCACGTGTTACTAGTACCAGATAACAACTCTACACATTTGAGTTAAAAATTCACACCCTCACATAGTAACAAAAATCACTTAATAATAATATCAACAACCGACCTAAAAAAAAATTTAAATAAACTTTTGAGGTAACTAACCCTAATCCAATCTCATTCACTTTCCATCAAATATTTGACCGCCACGTCATCACCTGGCACACCAGATTTTTCTTTTAGAACTAGTTAATGTTAGAACTTTGGAAATAAAATATGTAAGTGATAAAAAAATTTTAAAATTTTATACAGTGAATTATTTGATAAAATCTTTTTTTTTTATTATATATGTTTTTTTAATATAAAAAATAAGAAAAGAAAACGTATCAAAATTTGGCATAAATAGAGTAGTTGATTGAAGATGCTCCTCTACTACTAATTCTCTACCTTATCACAAGAAACGAATGATTCACATTCTCCAAACACTCAACACAAAACCACACCTCCTTATTTATTATATACACTCCTCTTTCTTACATGGCTTCAGATGAAGCTGTGATGACAACTCAATCTTCGTTACAAGATGAAGACTATGAAGAAGATGATATGAATGATGTTTTTCATCATCAAAATCAAAATCAAAATCATAATCAAAATCAGCATAATTTATCAAGGCTTTCAGTTTGTACAAGCAGTTTCGAAGCTGATGTTGAAAATCTAGCTTCCGTTTGTATGTCACACTTGTCCATTGAAAGCTTCGAAGCTGATGGAGACGATGAAGCAGAAGGAAAAGATGAAGGGTTGTCTTCTGGTTCTGAGAATGAGTCAGGTAGTTGTTATTCGTTACCGGCCACACCGCCGCGGAGGAGGAGTTTGATTCCGGGGACTCCTGTGATTGGAATGAAAGACTATGGGAGTGAGAATGAAGCGACGAAAACGAAGAGCGGTGATGATTCTGGGAAGAGGAGGAGGAGGAGGAGGAAGAGTGTGTTTGAGAGGGGAAGTAGTTGGGAGAATTTATGGGAGGAGAAGAAGAAAATGAAGGAGAATGGAGGGAATAGTGGTGAGAGTGATCAGAGTAATGGAAATGGTGTGATGCTGATTGCAAGACCTAAAGGTGGGAGTAGGAGTTTGTGTATGGATTTGGATGAAGTTAAAGCTTGTAGAGATCTTGGATTTGAGTTGGAACATGAGAGAATCTCTGCTGTTTCTTTCTCTAATTCAACACTTGATAATACTAGTAGCGGTGGTAATTCTCCTATTGCTAATTGGCGCATCTCCGGTCCCGGTAACTCAAGTCTCGATAAAATGTTTTATCTGTAGCACTAACACTTTTGAAAAAAAATATGTTTGATATGTCTAGACATGACAAAAACATATATATAATATGATTAGGTTGATGTGTCTAAACATGACTCTGACACATATATGTATATATGATTATGTTTAATTTATTCATTTGTATATAAAAGTCACGTACACAACGTGACAAGAGCTTAATTAAGTCAGAATTTGACTTTTTTTTCTTTTTCTTCTTCTTCATGTTATTTAGGTGATGATCCGAGAGATGTGAAGGCAAGGCTGAAAGTGTGGGCGCAGGCTGTAGCTATAGCGTCTGCCAGCAAATACGGCTCATGACAAACACAATTTTCTTGTTAGCTCATACTTACTTTGTTTTTTGTTTTTTTGTTTTGATTGAGACAGTGTACATTATTATACTATGTTTGAGTTTTTCTTTACACTATGATCGGTTATAGAATGAATTTCATTGTATTTGTATAGTTTTTGTCATAAATTTTGCCCAACAGTGGTTGATTTTTGGATCAAGTGATGGTAACTTTTCATATGTAGAGTGTACGTTTTTTTGTTCATTAACTGCTTACAGAATGAGTGTTTTGATAAGATTGAGAAGTTCTGATATATATGAACAATAGAAAGGTAATGTGAATGGTCAATGAAATTATAAAGTAGAAATGTGAAGAAACATAAAACATGTAGCAAATCTTTATGGCTTGTTGGTGGGAGACCTATGGTAAGTTATTAAATATATGTTTGATGAGTTAGTCACTAATCAACATTTAAATAACTTTTTTTTAATGATTCTGAATTTCTTATTGAAAAAATGAAATTAAGATTTACGAAAGAATTAAATTTTAGAAAACTTTTGGATAAATAATGCTTAGATGATTTAGGTATGGAGAAATAAATATCTGATACATGCACGAAATCTGAACCACTGGAGTCACAATTCGTTGTATTCATGTATTGTATTTTTTTTTATAGTTGAATCAAGATGAAACAGTTTAAATTTAAATGTAATTTTTAATTTATATAAAATTAAAAAAAAATTAAGAAGATAAAATCAAGACTCGAACATACGAATCGAAGATAAAATCAAGAAATATTTTTCGGCCAATGAATCACTCAAAAACTTTGAACCGGACAAAAGTTATGAATTTTTGAACATCCAAAAAACAGCCGTTCAACCCACTATTTTCGTTGTATTTGCGCCGTATACCCCACAGAACATTTGCGCATTCGAAGTTCTTCCTTACTGAATTGGCTTTCAATCCAAACACGAGAATTGAAGGAAATAACAAGACGGTTCACATGCTCCAAGAGACACTCAGAGGTGATCTTTGGGTCAGAAGTTACGAATTTTAGATCAATCTGAAAACCAACGAACCAGCAAATCCAGTGTACACCGTGATTTCAGTTATTCACGCTTTTGAAAATCTTCTTCAAATAATTGGTTTCCGATCCGATCATACGAAATGTAAAGGGTGTTAAAACGAACTTAGTGCTCAAAGAACCATTCAAATATCATCTACCAGTCACAAGTTATGAATTTTTGATCATCCGCAAAATAGTGAACCATCGAATCCAAACTTCAGCATATTTGTGTATTCAGGGATTCTCCTCAAGGAATTGGCACTAGATCTGAACATATAAACTGTAGAAAATATCAAGACGGTTCTTGCGCCTAAAGAATCACCCCAAAATTCTTCTCCGGACGGAAGTTGTGAATTTCTAAAGTCACAACATGAAATACGTCTTTTTTGCTCAAACCATTCTGAATCGGCCGAAACACTTGACTTTCTCTGCCGTTCAAAGCATTCTAGAACACCTGAGAACCTGATATGATGATAACTAGATTGATTGTTGGATGAATAACTTAGAAACTGTGCGGGGTGCAGTTTAATGTGGAAAACCTTGAGTTGTACTTTAATGTACCAATTGACAGAACGAGCGTCCGCTTTAAATCTTGAGAGATGAACACCATGATCTCGTGGCCACGGTAACAATGATATGTATGCATGCGTATGATGATAAAAAAAAGCCAATTAAGGTTAGAACGAAGAGGGAAAATTGGATTACAACAAATATATTTGTTGGGAATCAATCGTTGGAAGGAGAAAAGACTTCTCTATCCTTACAACGTCTCTTTTCATCTGAAGGCTATATAAGAAGACTAAAGCTTAAAATTCAAATTGACAAAGATATTGACAATGAAGACAATGTCTAAGTCCAAACAATGTTGGTGTTCTTAAAATAAAATATCTTACAACGTTGAAGAGATGAAATGAAAAAGCAAGGAGTTGTTGCTCATATATTGCTTAACGAAGAAAGAAGATGAAAAAGAAGAATTCTACAAAATACTACTCAAACTTTCATCATATACATCTTGTAAAAATTATGAAGAAGCAATGAGTTGTTTCTCATAACATACTCAATGAAAAATATGAAAACAAGAAGACTACAAGATGCTGCACTCAATTTAGATTATATTCATCTTTATAGAAGTAATGTAAAACACAAGAGTTGTTGTTCATATTGTGTTATTTCTTAAGAATCTTCATGTAAATTGTTTGTACAGAAGAGTTGTTGCTTAGAATTGTGTAAAACAATATCTACTTAAATTAGGAGTAACCTGCTTGATAAGAAGCACTCATGTAATCTCCAGAAAAACAATTTTGTTTAGAATTGGTGGTTCCTCAAGTGATCCAGTGAAGATCAGAAGACTTGAGAAGACGAGTAGTTGCGGTCATCGTGGATGAAATCCTTTCTAGGAGACCATATTGCTCGGATTCTAAGTGGGTCAATGATCGTTATATCTTGTGGAAATCACTAAATGTATCATTGTGTTGATTCCTTGAGAGACTCGGTTGAGTCAGGATTCTCAAGAAAGCTTAGGATGCGGTCTTAGTAGAAATGGCAATAAGGATCAGTTGAACTTGTTGTGGTTGTCAGCAAGGTTGATCGGACTTATTGTGGATTATAATCAGATTTGGTTATAGTGGATTAAGTCCTTGTTGAAGGTAAAATCACATGAGGAGGGTGGACAGGAGTAACCTAGTTAACGGTGAACCTGGATAACTGATTGTGTCTCTTTATTTTATTGAACTCTATATTCTTTCATAGTTCAATCAAATAATTTTATAAAGGGGAATATTTTCTTAAAACCAAATTCAAACCCCTCTTTCTTGTGTTTTTCTCTACCTTCAATTGGTATCAGAGCCCGACTCTGTTATTGATTTTTGAATTAAACACTTAACCGTGTAGAGAGATTCAGCAAGAGAAAAACTATGAATGCTATATATTGAAATGAAATAAAGAGGGATCCTTTCAAACATTCAGGTTTATCAGAATAGGCATCATGATTCTGAAAGTAAATTAGAAATGTCAATAATAAGATGCATTAGAAGAAGTTTCCTTCAATCATCAGTTGAGAAAATCATAAGAAGAAGCATCAGAAGCTTGCACAAGAAATAAAGAACGAATCAACCTTAGAAGAAAGGAGTCATCAACCTTCAAAAGCATAAAAGTCTGAATCAGAATCAAAATTTGATAAAAGTAAACCTCAGTACAGAAGTTATAAGGCAAATACTGAAGTTCACAGAAAAGTTCAGAAAAAGGACAATCAAACTGTTGTTTCGAAGAAATCACTTCAGAAGAAAAAAGCTAGTGTAAGAACAAGATTCCTTCTCCAAAAACAACTACAACTATGCAGAAAAATCATCATAATCCAAGGAAACAAGAAGACAAAACCATCTACTTAATCGGCAAGATCCTTCTAACTCCTTATCTTACAATTTTGTCATATCTAGAAATTTATTTATTCTAATTATATTTTTTTTAAATGTGTGGCTATGATTTTTTGTGACACTTGTTGAAGTAGTAATAAATGCGCCGATTGATTGACATCTTGATCGATGGGATTTTCTTGAGATTAGGTTAAAGAATCATTATTACTCTTCCACTCAATACATTTTCATAAAGCTAGTAATCATTTCACTTGTTTCGTTCTCATAAAATTTCTCTTTATCTCTTTCCAAATTTGTACTTTTCACTTTTCCTTTTCTCAAACCCTAGAGAATTTTTTTAAACCCTTCATTCATGGATGCTCATCTAGAAAAAGCGTGCAAACTTGCTCTTGATTTTATTCCTAAAGATAAATCTCCTCAACAAATAGTTTCAAGTTCTTCACCTCCATCATCTTTCGCAACAATGTAACATCCCTCATCCTTAAATCAACAAAAGAAAGAGCATATTCTTGATAATCTAGAGTGTGTTCATTTTTATTCTCCGGTAGATAAACTAGATGTCCTACAAGAACTACTGGTGGACTTTGAAAATCTGAAAAACAACACCATAGATCTCACTGAACAATTGATCTTTCAAGGATGGATTAATTTCTTCAACCGTCTCTATGGTTAAATTTATTCAAACCTTATGAGGGAATTCTAGAAATTTGTTGAAGCGAATGAAAAATATGTAGTTTCATATGTTAAGGGTACAAAGGTTGTCATCACTATGAAATCAATTTCTATCTTGCTTGGGATGAAGGAAGCAAAAGGAATAGTGGTTCATCGCATCGACTCAAAATCAAATTATCTAGCTGATGTTGTGAATCCTACTATTTTCGCTGAGAAAGAAGTAAATCTCACTATAGGAAAGACACTCGCTAAAGTCATGAATCTTCCTAACAATCTTCGTGTATGGATAAGGATTATTCAGGGTTACATTCATCTTAGACCTAGTAACAGTTCAGCAGATTATGTGAATGTTGATCAAAGTTCATTCTCTTCTATCTGGTAAAAGGAACTAAGGCACATCTTCCATCTCTTATCTTCAATTATCTGAGAGACATTGTTATTGCGACCAGAGATAATGGAAAATCTAAAAAGAATTATATTCCTCTTGGAAGATTAATTTCAGACATTCTTGTTGAAAGTGGTATAGTGGAACATCTCATTTCACGCAATCTTGTGAAAGACTTAGTCACTGAAATTGGAAAATACTTTAATGGGGCAAATCTGAGAAATATGAGTGTATTGGAAAAAGATTGGGAGGTTATACCATCAAAAATACCTACAGATCCTAAGAGCATAAGAACTAAAAGGATGTCAGTAGATGGATATCCTCACTTCACTATGGATGTTTCACCTAGTGACCTTGGAGCTTATCTTAGTAAAATTGAAGCTGAAGGAACTAACATAATTGCAAAAGAGTATGATGTTGCTCGAGAAAAATCTTCTGAAAATCTCAAAAGAAAAACCAGCTCTCCTCAGAAGAAATCCAAGGTCAAGAAGCTAAAAATTGTTAAAACATCTGAGCCAGAAAAATCCTTGACTATC